ATATAGGCTATATGTCATATTCCTACACTTTCAGACAAATCTTGAAATAAATGTTAAATGTACATATGACAGGGTTCATACAGGCACAGCCTAATGAAAATCAATTCCAGCACCTATTTTTTTTTCAAGACTGACATGCTATGTATTGAAGACCTGAAATGTATTCTCAGCAACCCATAAAACATTGCATAAGAATAGATACAAATAAAAACCATTAATAATAATATTTATTAATCATATATTAATAATATAATAAACCTGCACTAAGTGCTTGTGAAATCTTTTTTGTACTCAAGTAAAAATACTATTACACTGCTAAAATAACAAAAATTTTAGTAAATAATACTAATATTAGGTATACGAATTACTCTTTTAAAAAGTACTAGTTGGTTACTTTTGAAAAAAAATCTGATTTTCATCATGAAATCACTTTTTTTTAAGTGTAAACCTGATTTAATGGTTTGATTGCTTACATCCCAAAGCTAGATATATAATTTGCACTAACAAAGGAAGTATAGTCAATTTTTCCTTTCATGACAATTAATCTTTTTCAATAGCACTGGTAAAACTACCAAATAATCTTTAAGGCCATAGAGACACTTTTTGGCCATTTTTAAAAATATATATTTTTAAGCTTTGAAAGGTTAAATTAAAGTATATGGTAAAAAGATTTAAATTTAGCCTTTTATTTACATATTTCACACTATTTTCTTTACAATATGGCAAATTTGTTTCTTAAATAGCTGTCCATCACATGTAGATTTTATTTTATACTTGATCTTAATCTAAAATAGAAACGTAAAAAAAATACAAGTACACTGTCAGTAAAAAAAAATAAAACAAATTACTTCATTTTACTTGAGGTATTTGAAATATTACGACACTACATTTATCAAAGCAGTGCTTTAAGAGCCTTATTGTAAATTGTGATAAATAAACAATAAGTAGGCTAACAATGGATTGCTTTGACCTGTAATGCTTTAGGACAGATCAAAATACAGCTAAATGTATAAATCACACAAATACCTCACCCAGAAACATTTCCAGCATAATTATTTTGTCGTAAAGAAATAAAAAATGTTCCACCTTTGCTAAAAGTAAGTTTCACTTCACAACACAGCCAAATAAGAAGACCATTAGCATTGTCATCGATCATGTATCAATCTATTTCTAAATATTTGATAACTTTGAATACTTTTGACTAAATTTAGTTAAGGAGCAAAGATAAATAATGTCTACTTTAATAGTGGAAAGATCGCGATTGTATTCTATCTGAGCACACACGCGATCATGAGAGGACTTTCAGTTCATTTGAAAAAAGCCTATTTAAGAGCTCGCATATCTGTTTTAGCGATTTGCGTACATGAATGCGCTCTCGTGTTAAAATAAAGCACTCGCCGCATTTGCAGAAATGAGTAATTGTGCAATACCTTCATTCCCGCGCCGCCATTCAGAATGTATTTAGAGGAGTGACAGGTCAGAGGCTAGTCGACTGGCTGTCGGAGAGCGAAACGTGTATGAAGATCATCAAATAGGCAGGAAATATGTCCGCGGTTTAATTACTCTGCTAGACATCTCTGTAGTGAAAACATCCGAGAAGCATTATTCCAACAAAACATTTGTTTTTAAGTTGTTTTTTCTGTCTCTGCAACACAGAAAGCATTTGTCCCGCCCTTACGTTTCACGCAACTAGACAAGGTCGACTGTGATTGGCCACTTTTCATGTCAGTGAAATCACGCTTCAGAATCAATTCTTAAACTTCGGAAACTGATTTTCAGCAGCTTATGACACAATGCACTAAAATAAACACTCCAAGCACAGCGCTGTGATCGTACGCTTCACAAAACAGCCAATGCTGATCACATCAATGTTATATTACACATTAAAGGATTAAAAGTGTTAATTGCTTCTTTCATTATCCAGCGATTCCTCCGCGTACCACTAGGAGGAAGCCCGCGTACCACTAGTGGTACGCGTACCACAGTTTGAGAACCACTGGTTTAATGAATGAGTTATTTGCACTGAAGTGTTGTTCAGCCAATGAAATCTTCCAGTCAAAGATTGAAACGACTATTTTCAGTTTCATAAGGTCCTTTTACAGCATTGATAACATAGATTTTTATTTAGTTAAATAACAAAACATCAGTAAAAAGGTGCTATTCCACCCAGCCTGCTTTACTGAGGTGAAGTTGGTTTTATATTCACATCACATTGGTTCATTTTTTAACAATGACTACCTACGCGCTCCCTATGTTGGTCACCATGTTAAACTGAATTTTCAATCTGAAAAAGCATGTAATTATAGTCCTGCATCCAGCCGGCCAAGCACCAGCACATGGAGAGTGAGACTAATGATTCTTGCATGCATAAACATTTTGCTACACAACTGAAAACGTGCTGGTTATAATAGTTTCTCGTTTCAGAAATGTTGTATTATAAAGTACTATAAAAGTTTCTAACTGGTGAATGACATGATCTGGTGGTTTGTCTACAGTCATCTTTACGATGCGCATTAGTGTTTCATTGGATGGCAGGGGAGGGACAGTGTTTTCAAACCTATTTTGCTTATGGATAGCATTTTGGTAGATCGCCTACAGCACCTTTAACTTAATTAACTTTAACTTAAAGTTTTGCTGCTTATCCAAACTACTTATTTAAAATAAGCTGAAATTTTTTACATTTTTTGGGACTCACCAATGTATAGCTAATCATATTCCCATCTTGTTCATTTTCATGAATGAAATTGTGCATCATTTATTAGTTTAAGTGGACATGCTTGGGCATGTTTCCAACTGTTTAATTAAAAAGTTAGAAAATGCAGAACAGCACTTCATATATTGAACAATGACCCATGTGCTAGACTATCAGAGGGTAAAAATGCATCCTGAAGATATGCATGTGTTTTTCTATACTTTATTAATTCAGCTGCAGTGATGATTTCTAACACAGCTATCAATCCAAACAGTTAACCTTCTACAGATATTGCTGCAGATCACCTAAAAAAAATCAATGAAAGCAGAACGTTACTCGAGGCTGTTGGATCTGAGCGTGAGACTCTCACCGTATATTCCCCAGGGAGACCAGCAACACAGTGGTCCCTTCACCATACATGGTGAGAACGAGCCGTGTGCCTGTAGGCGATGAATGAATGTGCTGCGGTGGGAATATTTCACAAGCAGCTTCATAAGCTGTGATTTCTGCACGTGACACATTCCTGAACTTCCATTCAGAAGGAACTGCTAACATTCATCCTCTCTTACCGCTTATTCCTCTCCTGTCTAATTTGCTATGTTGAAGAAGTCTGCGCTACGGTGAATTTTTTACTCCACATTTCAAGTTCGAACCGAACCGAGTGAAGGCAGAAGCACTGCAGTCAGTTTCTGCCATCCCGACCGGCTACAATGGGCCCTAAAAAATCTAAAAATAGCCTCAGGAAAAAAAAAAATCACACAGGCCCGGAGACTAGAACAGGCTCTCTCACTTTTTATGTAAGCGAAGACACCTCAGTTATGTCATCGATTGCCCATCACTTGACTTCTCCATTGGGGAGGGGATTCTCAGAGTCCCGAGAATGCCTAATTCTAAGCATCTCATTCCCAGTGCATTAACACCACAAATAATTATGGATAGAATGACAAAACTACATGTTAAAGAATAAGAAGATAATTCAAAGAAGGCTAGTAGTCACTGGTATTCAAAGCACAGTACTGATTGGATGGCAATCCCTACAGGTTTTCAACATTCTTCAAAATTACTTATTTTGCGTTCAACCTCCACTGAAGAAAAATGATGTCTGCAAAATTGTTGCAAACAATTTATGTGTTGAATTTACACAAATTAAATTTGATAATGTTCAACTTAATATGTTTGTTTAAATTCAACCCAAATTAATTGTTTACAGCAACTTAACTTAAAAAGAAATATTATATTCATGGAATCATTTTAGAATAACTTTCTTTAGTGTATACTGTCCCATAACAATGGACAAGATTTTGGGTTCAACAGAAAAAGAAACTTGCAAATGTTTGTAAATTGCCATTTTTGGATTAACTATTATTTTAAATGACCATTAACTATTTGACAGAGACATACCATGATCAGTCAATATGGTGAAAATGCATGTATTTACTTATTGCCCACTGAAAGGATTAGTTGTTAGATTTAAAAGTAAATGGTGGCTGAGAGTCAACTTTTAATTCCATGGTGAAAGGCACACAGACTTAGCATGAGGATGATGAGTAAATAATAACTGAAATTTTGTTTTGGTAGAAACCTTTCAAAATAGTCATGTGGATGTAAAAGATTGGAGACTGGACAAGCATTTCTTGCCAGTAGCGCAGTCCTTTCAATGTTCGATGAATCATAACTGTAATAAATGTGAAAACTAAAACTGCCAAATGCTACATTTTTAAAGCATCCAGTATATAAGCCCTTAAGTGTTTGTTTACACCTGTAACTGCTGTTTATAGTGACAACCATGAGAACCTAAAGGGATGGTTCACCCAAAAAATTAAAAGTCATTTACTCATGAGTTTACTTATAAGTTTCTTTCCACTGTTGAACACAAAGAAGATATTTTGCAAAATGCCAAACAAGTATAATCTGAGACACTTTCAACTTTCTTTGAAACAGAGAAACTCATGAAGGTTTGGAACAACTTAAGCGTGAGTAAACAGTGGATACATTTTCTTTTTGGGTGAACTGTGTCTTTAAAAGTAACAATTCACTAAAAATGCACTTTATGTTTTTAATAACTTACAATTTTGCGTGAACGTCCCCTTTAACGTTTAGAGAGAACCAAATCTGTAGCTTACAATGTACTTTACCTCTGCGTTAATCGTCTACCTCAGGTGCACTGCAATTTCTATAGTGGCTCTATCAACAACAGTTCCCCCAACAGCTGCATTGATTAGCACAGGCCCATTGGCCAAAACTAGCTGCACATGTCTACTACAATGACACACAAGATCTTTGCGACAAGCAGGAGAGGGGCACCGACCTTACAGATCTGGAAATGCTCCGACATCAGTGTCTCCTGGATCTCCAGCTCGCGCGGTGTTGGTGCCGCACTGGGGGTCCCGGCCGCACTGCCGCAACCGGGAGACCCACCTGGATTGACAGGTGAAGAAGTGGTCAACCCGTCCAAAACCTTCCGAAACTTCTTCATCTTTATCCTAGTGTGTGTACTTAAATGATTTTTCTTGAACAATCTCAAAAAGGGGCAGTCGAGACGCTTAAAACGGCATATGAGATGATGCGGCTTCACAGCACAAATTCAGACTTCTGATTTCTTCTTCCTTACAGAATTTTATGTGCACAAAAAGTCACAAAAGAACCGCATTTTCCAAAATAAGGCTGGTGGTCATCAAAAAAGTAGATGTTTTTTTGGAGGGAGAGGCGAGGATATGTTCTGTGCGCATTAAAGCCTGAACCAGGCTGGAGAAGAACCAAGAAACTTCATGGCACTTACGCAGGACGATATCGCATCCAACTAGTCAACATTCTCAGAAGTCATGTCAAAGGCATATTAAAGTACAACTCACTTTGGTAAAATGAATGTTACTCGTCGTATTTATCGAGATGCAGTAGCTGTACACGCCAAAACTCACGCCGAACGCTTGTTGTTTGGGATCCCAGACGCAGAGACACGCCGCAGAGAGGCAGCGTATAGCGACGAGCCAACGTCGAACACGTATCACAAACTGCCGCGAAAAGACAGGAAATTTCTGCACCTGAAAGGTTTTCTGTGAAGCCCCCTTTTCTGTTTCTTTTTTCTGAGTTATTTGGGAGGAGAGGAGGCGAGCACCCTCGACCCGCACCCAGAATCTCTCCCGCAGTCGAGTGCGAGCTGCTGTCCAAGGTGCTGAAAGATCGAGCGAAAGAAAGTCGCGCCCCCCTCTGTTCTTATTGGATCATGTGTCACAACCCTACGGTAATCCCGCCTTCCAGAGGCAACGATTGGACCATGTGCTTTAGAAATCAAACAATGAAATAGTGATTTAATTACTTGCACATTTTTATTAAAGTTAACATTAAACGCATTGCACTTAATTAAGCTACGTGTGCTTTTTTATATTGAAATGCAGTTGATTTTTCATGTGAGTGAGGCGTGATGCTACTGGTTAAAATATACTTTAACAAAAGAGAACCACACTGGTCCAGAACATTAGGTTGGCGTTTAATATGATTTACATGTGAATTTACAGCAGTGCTGTTTAGTGCATTTAAACGTAGAGGGGGTTTAATCTGTCACCAAGAAATATGAATCTTCAGACATACACACAACATTACAAAATAGCTAGACCAACGCAAAAAGACAGCTTTAAATGCGGAGCAGTCTGGATTACGCTTCCTGTATATAGCCACACTCTCCATCCTGTCCATAATGTGACTCCTCTGAGAGGCAGCAATGGCCTCCAGGGGGCGCTGCGTTGTGCATCTCGCAGATGCAGATTACATAAGCGCTTACATCATCTCTCCCTTCGGCACGGCTTATTCCATTCAGTCTTTTCCCCTGAAATCTGCTCATGTTGTTGATACCAGCTTCAGAGATTTTGATCCTGCTGATGATGCTCCTGTGAATTCTCGTATCTTGGATAAAACGCCACACACACAAAAAAAAAATCTATGATAAATCCAAAGGTTCTTTTTCATATAAATTGCTATATATCTGTGAATGTTTGTAGGATTAAAACATGTATAGGATCAAGTTCTAAGAAATATTTAGATACATTTATATAACACTTTACTGTGTAATACAAATTTACATGTATATTATATAGATATTTTCAAGAGATTTGTACTTATGGGTGCATATTGATACCTTAAAAGGTACATATTAGTAACTAACATATTTAAACATTAGACAGTTGCATTTAGTTTTTTACTATAAAATCCATTTTTATAAATTTTACTTGATGGAGACATCAAAACTATAGTACTTGTATCTGCCTTATAAATAAATTCAGCATATTTTAAGTGCCTCAAAATTGCTAACAGTTTTTTGAGAGAGACCTTACAAGATATTTTATATAGTCCTCAGAGAACAGGATGCCCCTGAGGCATGTACTTCTCTCTAGAACCAACAAAAAAAACCTGCACCCTCTTTCAGTCCCACCATTTCTCAACATGAAAAGATGCAAGTAACTAAAGAGGGAAGCTCGCAATTATGGTGATTACAGGGTCCCAGCATTATGCTTTCTAGTATTTTTATCCTGACATTCTCCGTTATCTATTGCTTTGACTTTTTATAGGTTATAAAATTATAGATCAGACTCAAGCTCCCCCAATTAACAGGCTACAGGCTCAGTGGGCTGCCATATGTAATTGCTTTTTAAAATCTCTTCATTAAATATACGTTTCATCATGAATGCCAAGGCCTTTTTTATTGGCACAAACCCCAAACAAGATTTCCTATGACTGATTTTCAGCAGTCTAAACTTCATTAACAAGATAAAAACATTTGTAGGCTAAATGTTTATGTCATTCTTCATCCCACGGCTCTGCGACAGCGATGTTTTAAATGCAACACAGATTAAATCATTCAGGTTTCTAGTGCTAATGCAGCTTGTCGCTTGACAAACATCCCCACATGGACTTGTTTATCTTAGTTGTATTATTATGTGGTTGAGGCAGGCATGGTAGTGTTGCTAAAAGAGCTTGGCAGGGGCCTTCTCCCTCTGCTGCATGGTGGATGTATTACAGAAGAAATCCCTTTGTTGAGAGGATTTGGGAGTGAGAAAAAAAGCTAAATAATCCTCTTCATCGCTCCCTCAGGGTAAACAGCATCCAAGATAACGCAGCTGCCAAGACAACGGCACGGGGTGTGTGCTGCACAACGGGGCCACTGCGTTAATCTTCCTGCTCGAACCTGCAGACAAGGATTAGGGAACATGAACACGTCAGGTGTCCCATAGTGTAATGCAGTTGGGGAGTTTTGACTGGGCATTACACTGATTAAAATATGATGTGAGAGGCCATTAGCGATGTCGGCAGTGGAGAATTTATTCACTAATTCAAAATTATGCATAAAATAATATTAATAAAAGAGAAAATGATATGTATGTGATCCTGGGTTCAAGTGACATATGGGATACTGAAATGCTTGTCATGACTTTGTCCTTGAAAAAGTATTTTACACCATATGTCTCTGGGGAAGAATGCATGTAAAATTATTGTACTGTAAGCAGTTTTAGATTAAAACATTAATGCTTAATTGTTTAATCTCATCTAGTGAACACCTTGTTCACAATGAAACCGTCTATTTGTTAGAAATCTTTTGTCTACACAACAGTTAGCCACTAGACATAGCTTAGCTTCAATCTACTGTTAACTAATAATTAATAAGTCCTTACATTTATATAGTGTTTTCTGGACACTCAAATCACTTTACACCTTTTTGGAGGAATCTCCTCATCTACCACCAGTTTGCAGCATCCACCTGGATGACACGACAACAGCCATATTGCACCAGACCACACGCCGCACACCAGATTATTGGTGGAGAGGAGATAACGATGAAGCCAATTATGATACAGGGATGGTTAGGAGGTCATGATGAACAGAGGAAAGTGGGCAAATCTGGCCAGGATGCCAGGGTAAAACACTCCAGGTACCAGGTACTGCTTAGTTTCAGTGGGCGACCATTTGAGAGTTGCAGAGAGCTAGCTGCTGGCTAGCTGCTACCAATACATAGCAGTAACTGAAAGTGTTTCGCCATGCAGATGAGGTCAAAATGAAAACTTTATGTCCCATTCTGATTCTAGGTCAAATTTGTGCAGCTTTGATTATGGTGTGGCTGTTGATGCCAAAGGAGTTGCTCTGAGTCTGAGCAGAAAACACTGATCTGGGACTTTTTACCAAAAAAAATGGTGAGTAAAAGTAAAAATATCCAGTGAGTGACAATTCTGTTAGTAAAAATGTCATGTTGATGCCGAAGATTGACACTAGAGATCGGCCAGACTGGCCTGGCCTCAAATAGTCACAATCATTGTTATTAAAAGGTGTGTAGAAGAGCATCTATGAACCTTGAAATCTGAACCATCAAACATTGAGGCAAATGATCTACAGCAGCAAAAAAGCACACCAAAGCACACCATTCCTGTCATTTCTGTCATCTAATATCTAAAAACTAAAACAACAATTTAAAACAGACTAACCAAAATCTGACAGAAGACTAGAAAAGATTGTCTTGAGAAACGTTTTTGCTCAAGATGGTAAAATCTGAATTTGGCACAAACACATTAAAAGAACAGATTCAGCCTGCGCTGGATTGGCTGTTGAAACTATTGATGGTGGAGAAATGGATTGCCTTTATAACCAATGTGCCCATCTTGTGACAGATACTTCCAGTAGTGTAAAACGCCATGTCACACAGCTCAAATAATCTCAAACTCTTTTTTTTAATATAACAATAAATAATTCTGAAGTTAGTAATACTGTAACAGTATTAAGAACAACTTTCTCTGCAACTTTCAATGTTTTTGTGACAACAAAAGTATGCAGATAAGGCCCAGGGTTTATGAAAGTAGCGAGAAATGTCAGCATATGAACGATGAAATTTATAGAAAAAGATTTTAAAAAAAATTAACTAAAATAAAATAAAATAAAAAGATTCAGATGCTGTCCGAAACTGCCTACTACTCAGTGGGTTCTGCATTTGAATTTAAATGTACTATTCGGCCATTAGAAAAGTACATTCGATACAGTATGAATGTGTGTAGTGGAACTGGACGTACCGAGAGATGAGTTTGAGCATAGGTAGGTTTCAAGAACTCCCCTGCTTATTTGAGACTAATGACAAATAAGGGATTGCTGTGAAGAGATATACTGCTGATTAAGAGTTCATATGGTGCCAACTGGGTTTGGTCAATTTACCTATGTCGCTGTGGGAGGAAAAAGGAAAACCCAGAGGAAACCTACACGAGCTCGGGGAGAATATGTAAACTTACGTTGACTGGCCTTGTTAGGACTTAAACCAGTGACATTCTTACTGAAAGGCAACAGTGCTATTCCTAATTACTTGGGCCCCGTGCCACCCTATTAAGGAAAAGTGAGGAGGAGTAGGGGTGAAAGGGGGGATTCTTCAAGATGAAGATAACTGGGATAAGAAACTCTGGTTATTTATAGTGAGTTAAGAATCATCAAATTGGTGAATCATGCGTTAGC